CAGGTGACTCAGCGGGAATGGGGGAGGGGAGTCTGAGAGGTTGAAGAACACCAACTTCTCATCTACCCTCTGTACTTTCCATATAGCTGCAATGAAGGAATGAGTGAAGTAAAGGGAGTCAGTGGCTTTCTGAAGTGGCTGCCCAAGAACAAGTCGACAGCATCCCTTAGTCCCTGGATATACACACACATAGCCAGACACTCCGAGCCAGCCTCCATGCCCTCTAGGAACCTAGAGCTGTCTTACAGCCTCTCTATCCAGCCCACCTGGCTCTATGCCAGTCCCTCCTTCCTCACAATTTGCTGGGGAGGCCTCAGAGCCAGAGCACCCAGAGTCCTAACTAGCCCCTAGGGATGCAGTGCAAACAACATGCCTGGTGGGGAGATGCTGCCCTTTAGAGGGTCTCACAGCCCACCATGATGGCATAGAATGAAGGGCATGTACAGAGGGAGTGAGAATAGGGTGTTCCGGTGAGGGGTTCTGCAGGGACAGCTAGGAGGGCCTAGATGCCTGGATGAGAAGGTATACCAGTTGGCTAGAGGGCATGAGAGAAGTTGGTGAACACCCAGGATGTGGTCTTGGGTCTCCCATTCAAAGGCCATCCTAGCCCTGGGTTCAGAGCCCTCACTGTGGTTGAATAGCCAGCTATACAAGAGGCTGACATAGGAGATCGCTTGAATCCAGGAATTTGAGGCCAGCTTGGGGAATGTAGTAAAACCCCACCCTGTCTCACAACAAAAGGCTTGTGGTTGAGTATTAGTGGCTTATAACTTTAAGCCTATTCTCTCTAGAAAAACAACTCACTAGACTCCATTTCTAAAATAACCAATAAAAAGCAGAGCTGGAGGCATGGCTCAAGTGGTAGAGAGCAGCAAGAAGGACAGGCTTGAAGCCCTGAGTTCAAACCTTGGGACCACCAACCAAATAATAAAAATAAAAATAAAAAGGCTATGAGCTGTGCTAGGATAAGGGACTTGTGTTACCTGATATGGGAATAGGTGGTCAAGAAAGGCCTCTGGAAGCCGAGTGCCAATGGCTCACACCTGTAATCTTAGCTACACAGGAGACTGAAATCTGTGGTTCAAAGCCAGCTCAGGCAGGAAAGCTTCTGAAACTCTTATCTCCAGTTAACTACCAAAACAAAAAAGCCAAAGTGGAGCGGCAGTTCAAGTGGTAAGGAGCTGACCTTGAGAAAAAGAAAAACACAGAGACAATGCCCAGGCTGAGTTCAAGTCCTGGCACTATCACCAAAAGAGAGGGGAGGGGGAAGAGGAAGAAGAAAGGGGAGAGAGAGGTGCTTCAGGCCTAAGTGGGATGAATGAAAACCACAGAACAATGATGGTCAAGGGCAGCAGGGGCCTATGCAAAGTCGGAGAGAGTTGAAGGTTGTTGCTGAGTTAGGAGACTTTAAAAGGGTGAGGCCAGGGCTGGGATGTAGCTGTGTAACAAAGCACTTGCCTAGCAAGTGCAACATCCTGGGTTCAATTCCCAGTACCAATAAAGAAAAGATGAAAAAAGGGATGGGGGTGAAGTTAGGACACGGTGTGAAATATTAGGCCCTCAGCAGCTTTATTTAATTATTTATTTTTGCTGCTGGTACTGACGCTTCAATTCAGGGCCTGGGTACTGTCCAGTAGCTTTTTCATTTCAGTCTGGTGCTCTACCACTTGAGCCACAGCACCACTTTTGGCTTTATGTTGGTTACGTGGAGATGTCTCTTGTACTTTGCTGCCCAAGCTGGTCTCAAACTAACAAAGTTCAGCTTTCAGCCTTCCAAGTAGATAGGATTATAGGTGTGAGCCCCCAGTGTCTGGGCCTCAGACAACTTTAGAGAGCACTGGGACACATCTAGTCCTGAAGAAGTTGTCAGGGCAGACCAGGATGGAATTCTGCAGCCACGTGTGGACACAGGCACCCTTTAGAGTGGCCTGGACTGGAGGTGTAGCTCAGAGGCAGAGAGCTTGTCTAGCACCCAGGAGGCCCCGGTGATAACTGAGCCAGTGAGGTCTGTGTGGTCTCTATGATGGAGACCGCAGCTTCTAATAGGTTTGAGCTGGGGTTCAGTCTGGGGGTGCCTACGTTTTCCAGCCAGTTCCTCCAAGTCCTGTCATGTCTTGCAGAAACCAGCCCGGCCCCAATGGACAGTGTGATCCCCGTGGGCAAGTCCCACACACCCATGCCTGGTCCCATAGACCTTGTCCCCCAGGGCTCCCTGGAACCCCAGTTGCCTAGGGCCTGGCCCTGCCGGGGTTCCCTGGGCCCCGGGCCGGATTCCCTTGGCTACCTTGGTCGTTCCCACAGCCGTCCCAGAGGCCCTCTCCAGGGCGCATCGCCCGCCCTCCTCCCCCCACCCCGCGATCGGTCGCTAGGCTGCGGGCTGGGGCCAGGCAGAGGTGCTGGTGGCAGTGGTGGATTGGTGGCAGCGCAGGATGGCGGCGGAGTCCGGACGCTCGTGGACTCAAGCGCGCAGCGTCTATGGTGCCAGCGAAGCTTTGCGGCGAGGCGCAGGCCGCCGGCGGGACCCCGGATCGCAGACCAATGGGCCAGTAGTCTCGGAGGACATCCGCGCCCCAGGCCGACTGGCTCGCCTGCGGGGACAACTGCGGGCCGAGGCAGCGGCGGCGCGGGCCGAGGC